TATGCGGGGCGCAGCCCGGGGCCGACGAGGCACACCATGTACTTGAAGTAAGTCTCGTGTGGGAGCCGCAGCCGAAGGACCTGCTGGAGGCTTAGAGCGTGGTCGGGGGCTAGGAGAGGGAGACGCACACCATGTCCAGGTAGACGAAGCACTTGGTCGTCTTGATAAACGCGCCGACGGCGGAGGCGAGGGGGTCGTTGAGAGGTTGGAGTGCTTTCTTGACGTCGATTCCTACGACGCCGTAGCTGCCTGGGAGCGGGAAGAAGAGCATCTTTGTGTCTGCGTGGAAATGCCGGAAGTGCGGTAAGCTGTGAGGGTTCCGTCGCACCATACAAAGCGGTTTTGAGTCAGGTCATCACACGATGGTATTGCGCAGATATCAAGCTTTAAGGACGTGCAGAGGAGCCTTCGCCCTCTGTAGGTGACAGCGACGCTGAGTGATCAACGTTACTCACCAGCTGCAAAGACCACGCCGCACTTTCATGCCTCAAATATTCCACTCAGGGGTCGATGCTATTGCTGACCATTGGGGCGTACGATGCGTGAGGTGAAATTGCAGAAACGTCTCCCAGACTGACAGTCCTCCCGACCATTGCGCCGCCGACAATCTAAGGATATCCACCTGCTTTCAATGAAAAAGCTGAGTTTTGCCAGTCTGAAGAGCCAATGGGATCATGTATAAGGCTTTCAGAGAACGAGAAAGCAGAAAACTGTGAGTTCACGTCGTGGTGCGAAAGAAAACGGGAGCGCCCAAAAGGCGCCCAATTGCGACTTGACCGGAACCATCGGCCGCGCGAGCGTCGCTCTGACCTACGTTGACCTCACCCGCACGTACCGTAAATATGCCCACATGTACGCCCGCGCACACCTTCATACTGGCAGTACGAATTGAACTTATCTGCGCCAAGGGTCGGCCATGACGAATGAAACTTTGGTTTCATGCCATGCACGGGAGGAAATGGCGCGTCCTGCGCCCGGCGCCGCCTTTTTACTATTTAGCAGCAAGTCGACGTCACTTGCTGCGCTTCACTGGCAAGTACTCCACGACTCCCACCCCGCGACGATGGGCAGTCTCCTGCAGAACCTCTCGCGCGACTCAGAAGGCTTTTCAGAACATCTCAAGCTTCGGTCGGGCCAACTAAGCATCGACATCACATACGAATCATGGTTGAGAATGTCGAGGACCCGCTGCTGAGGACGGCGGAGGCTACCATGGACGTGACCTGTGTCGCGCTCAGTCCGCCCATGTAGCTCATAAACCCACCACCTCGTGAGTATAGCGCAGTTTCAGAATCGACATCCGCGTTCAAGTTGCTCGTAGTGCAGTTCATTCTGAAATGACTTGGGGGGATCTACGGTCTCGCTCCAATTGAAACGCTAGCTTCACGACCTTGGGGACTTGCGAGACGTCACATTTGATATTTGCAAGGACACTGGACTGGTGCGTCGATGTTATGTGGCACACAATCTGCTACTGACACCTTTTTCTTCGCCGATAGAGCGAGGGCCTCGCGAAGCCGTCATACAGCGGGAGCCTCTTGCAGGAGCCAGCCCCTGCAGGCGGATCTGCAGAGGAGAGTATGATACGCGATAGTGACGGCTGCCTTGGCCTATGGAGGTCAGTCTTACAAGACAACCTAACCTCACATACCCACCCACGTGCATCAGCTGCCTCTGAAATCGTGCGTTCCGCTATGACCGTACACCCACGCCGCGTACTTGCTGACCCTCGTTTGAACTTATCAGACTATTATTAGCAGGGATGTGTTCTTGCTCCTCGCGCTCCGCCCGGAACTTATACAGTCACGCGCGCAGGAGGGGATCGACCGTGTTGTCGGTACTCATTGCCGCCCAACTTTACAGACCGGGACCGCCTGCCGTATGTGACTAAGATCATAAAAGAGATCGTGCGGTGGCACCCACCAGCGCCCACCGGCGTTTTGGCTCTTCGTCCTCACATTCTCTGTGTCACCGGTAGAATTCTGACGGAGTGTACGACCTGACAGGGATCCCGCATCTGCTGAAAGAGGACGACGTATACTGGGGTTACCACATCTCGAAGGGGTCTATCGTGATGGACAACGTCTGGGGGATTACGTACGACCCAGCAAGGTATCCAGACCCGTCCGGATTCAAGCCCAAGCGATACGTCACCGCGGACAGCACCCTCGACTGCAGCACAAACGACCCGAGCCGATACGTTTTCGGCTTCGGTAAACGGTGCGTCCTTCTCTTCTTTCACTCCGCCGTCTTCCTGAAGGAAGGTTTGACATGAAACTTGTCTACAGCGTGTGCCAGGGAAAGCTCCTCGTAGATGACTCAACGTGGCTCACCGTCGCGCAGTTCCTCGCTGTCATGACGGTGATATTCCCCGTCGGTGATACACCGCCGAAGGTCGAGTTCGTATCTGAGGTCACATCGTGCATCTTCTCCCAGAAGCTCTGCCGTATCGATTGACTGACGCAAGTCGCGTAACTACGGCCCGCAAGGTGAGCGAATATCCAGTCCGTGAGACGGTGGCGACAACTTGAGGTCTCATCAATGGGGCAATCATGTCTACCATGAGACAGCCCGCCGTACTGATGCACGTGAGGAACGGTGAAGAACTCGCATCCGTATGGGGTCTACTTCCGCCTCAGCATCGTCTGTGTAGCTGCAAGGCACAAGAATCAGATTTGTGCCAGAGGCAGGACGGTTATCTGAACATCAGTTTCTAGAACGGCGAGAAGAGTAGGGGTACCACAGACCCTCCGCGTGAGCATCGGGGCGCGCGTTGTAAATTTGGAGGGGCTTGACACGCGAAAGTCAATCAGGCTACCCGAAACCAACAATATAGCCCCGTGTCCGAGGGTTCAGATGTTCAAAAAAACGCTCATGACTGGATACGAGGGCACAATTACCTGTAACTGGAGAGGCAGAACCTTAGTGTTTCTCCCCGTTTTCTCCAAGATGATTGTCGGAGTCGCAAGAGAGATGCGCTCCGTAGGTACCTGAGTACGACGCTTGCCCAACCCGTCAGGGGTAACTGTCAGACAGGAATTCGAACTACCTTTCCCTTCGGTGGCATACGCGGCAAGTTCGTAGATCGAGCCAGCAGATTGGGAAATCTCTGCGTGGCTGTAAAGCGGATCCAACATGGAACCAACATACGCTGTCGCGACTCCAAGTCATCGACCATCTCGCAGATGAACGTCGTGTCGCCGGTATCATAACAGATGTTCGCCACTCCGAATGATCCACCCGAGGTTTGCGGTATGTGTGGTATATTTATACGCCCACAGTGAGTAACTGCATTGGCATGTCAGTGCTGGATCGCCAAGTTCAGCTATGGAAGACCCATTTGCGTGCCACGGCGAAGTCACTGTGCTTACCGTATCCACAGAGATGACGAAGTACCCTCAAGCGACCCGTACATTGCCATGCTACGCGTTCCGACTATTTGCGTGGTATAGAGCGTTACAAGGGGAGCATAGCATAAGAAGCGCAATTCGGTGGAGGTAGATAAGTACTAGACATACCAGTGCATGCACGCACCGAACCCTACGAACTTAAGCGCTTAATTAGAGACGTGTTATTGGTACGCAATTGCCGAGGAAAATAAAGCAGTCTACCTGACTTTCAAGTGCTCCTTTGACTCGACCTGCAAGTACTGAGCGCACTAGTGGCAGTTATGGTAGTGGAGGAGTGGATGCAAGACGTACGGGCGCCAAGAGACAGAGACCCGGCGGTACCTGGTATGGCCGATGGCCGAATATGGCCGAACAGGCGTTTGTCGTCGCCGAGCGCTGAGCGCTAGGAGCCCCTCCCGGGCATCTTCCTCCTCCACATCCTCCTAATGCCTCAATATGCTACCTACCCCTTCGAAGTGCAGGACGTAATGGTAAATGTGTATACCTCGTCAATTCTCAAATGCCTACTGCTTACCCGCTCCGCTATCAAACTGCCCCGAGCCTACGACGGGCGACTTTGGTATCATCGTCAGTGACGGTACTTGGTGGCAGACGCATTCTATGAAGTTTTCTATGCCGCGCAGTTGGAGGTTGTTCTATATGGTAATCATTCAAAACCTATGTAGGTCAGGACGGCTGAGTACAGGCTCCTGTAGACAGAGATGAAGTGGCCAAGTCCGAGTCATCAAGCTTTCTGCCACGACAGCATGGTTATAACGTGCTGAGCTCATGTGTTTTCCACGATTTCGGGTTTCCTGTTCATCGTGCTCGAAACTTTTGGCACACTCGCGTCCTGCCCCGGGTCATGGCATCTGATTGACCTTTTTAGCAGAAACGAGCGTCCAAATCTAGGGTCGGCGTTTATACCCCGAAAACAACCGTGGCAACGTAGCTGGAACCCCGGAATCTCAAGGACAGCACATCGATCTGCAACTTGTCGTTCTTCGGGACGAATACCAGGCGCGGGAGTCGGGCGATATCCATGTGCTTTAAAGCAATGAAAAATGCATCGTGCGTGGATTATCTCAGAACATACTGGCCTCTCCAATTAGGGCGAGCGGCGCGACCTCCGCCTGAGGTTAAGTACTCGCCTCAGAAGGCCAAAACAATGCAAATCCCTACCGACATTCATTCCGCTGCCTCACTCCATGGCCTCGACCTCGACCTACTCTTTCTCTATCCCCCTTGGAGGGGCCGTGCATATGCTACGCCGCGTCCACTACTTCCTATACACACTCTTCCTCTTCACAAAGTCCGATCTCAAGACCACTGTCGTCCCCGTTGTGAGTCGGAGTGGGATATACTCGTCATACTCGGGACAGCTTGTTAATAACAGATGTGCCACAGTCCTCCCTCGCAATCGCATCTGCTCCCGTAGCGGGCATCCTCCGCGTCCCACATATAGTCTTCTGGGTTTGGCTTCATCTCCTTCAGTTCGACCTCTCGAACCAGTGTATGGATCCAGAGGAGGATGCGCAGAACAAGCGCGACCGCCCCCTCCCCGCCAAGCGCATCACCCTCGCGCAGGCTCGTTTCCTCCGCTGGGCCATCGTCCCCGTCTGCCTGCGTCTCTCCGCGCTCTACAGCGCACAGACAGTCTATGCGAGTGCGGCGCTCGTATTCCTCACGCTCCTCTACAACGAGCTTACTACGCACCGCCGGCACTATGCGATCCGCAACGTCGTGAACGCGCTTGGGTTCGCGTCGTTCGAGGTCGGCGCGACGCTTGTCGCTGGATCGGACCCTACGCGTCTGGACGGGATTGCGCTCTGCTCCGTTCTCGCGAGCACGGGCATCTTCGCGACGACGATCCACACGCAGGACTTCAAGGACGTTGACGGCGACCGAGCCATCGGCCGGCAAACGATCCCGATCGTCTTCGGGGCCGCTGCGCGCTGGACGGTGATCGTGCCGCTGGTGCTCTGGTCGGTCGGGCTCTCCGTGTTCTGGGGCCTTAGCATCGTGGCGGGTGCGGCTGTCACCGCGCTTTCGGTGTATGTGGGTGTGCTCTATCTCAAGGGGAAGACGATACATGAGTATCAGGTGGCCTTTTACTGGTACAACGTGCGTGCGGTCTCTCCAATTGTTTTCCGTGATGAATCGGACTAACTGCGATTATCATATCCGCAGGTCTGGCTGTCTACCGCACACGCGCTCCCTGCGTATTGTCGGCTCTTCAGTG